AAACGTCGCAAACTTGCCGTTGGAGCGCAGAAGTTATGAGACATCGGTAAATGGCTATGGCTAACTGAGCCAGATGTGCTTCTTTTTTTCGTTTTGTAGGGCAATGGATGAATCCTGATTCAGGGCCAACGCTGAAGCGATTTTGTCCCTTCGTTGGTCAGCAATGTCTCAGGGCCAAGTATTGAGGGAGCTGAAAGCACCTGAAATGGGTTAATATTGGTGCTATGTCTTCTATCGATCGATATGTCATTCTCAAAGAAAGGTTGGCGATTCACCGTGCGCATTCGCACGAGGCTTGTTGACCGCCAGAAAAAACACGAATATCATCCACAGAGTTCAGATCCAAGGATGAACCGCATTCCTGACCGCCTACCCTGCCTTCAACAATAGTCCGTCACTGCGAGTCCTGTGTGAATGAATATGGAACTCACTCGTATCTGGGCAGAGCCAGTGCATTGGAGACGAAATATGCATGTCAAGGTCGGCTGAAATACAAAGCAGATACGCGGGGTCTCGACAGCTTCGCACACCTCGTGAGTATCCATCCACCTTTGTCAAGATGGCAGGCACGAGCAGGCCAGCCAACGTTACCTGCCTGCCAAGATGGAAATCTCCACAGCCTGGCTCCGTAGTTATGCCATTTTGTACGAGTTGCTGACTCCGTACGTCAAAAATTTTCGTCTCTTCTGGTTCGCCATCCTCCACCGTGCCGACAACGGTCACCTTCAAAGCCCTCTCCGCGCATGTACCTCGAGTCTATGGCACAATCGTTGTCGACTGTCTACAACACGTAGTCAGTCGGTCCATGGCCCAGGAAATCAACGCCCCATCGCCGAGCTGGGCCCTGGTCGCTCGACTGGTGTGCCCCGCCCCCATTATGCAGCCACATGGCCTCCTATCCACCACCACGCTGCCATGGTCTATGCCTTCAATCTAGATCTGGAAGGCAAGGCGACAGAATCGAGAAGGTCGATAACTACGGAGTTCACATCGCGCCAATCAGTCATGCACAACAACACAAACTGCCGCCTTTTTATGCACGCTGCAAGATGCTTGCGCTATCGATGAACTGCTTGTACGGCCGGAACTGCCCTTCGAAAGAGCTTGCCACTGCAGAACTCTCGTCACCTGTCCCTCCGAATGTAAGCGTGGCACGGGGAAGTGGATCGCAAGCCTCCAGAAAACGCAACCTCTATTACACATCCGGCTTTTAGGCTGACTTGCGACATTTCAGTATATCTTTCGCAAGTGTATTGCCGAGACTAGCAGGATAATTACACGGAGAATCCCCCGCACACATACTGAGTGCTCTGCTCCATAACCAGCTCTCATCAAGCAGTTACGGTTGGCCCTTGTCCAGCAACATATCACGTCTCGTCTCGCCTAGCCTCTAGCGTTTCGAACACGGCAGTTGCAAGTTCTGCGAAAACCACACGCCTTCGTTAATGGTTCGATTTCGTAACAATAAAACCTGATACATACAAATTTGAGTTCCCTGGGGATTGATGGAGGCGTTCATGCGCGGGACTATAATATCAACCCTAACCCAAGCAGTTTGTTCCGAAAAGGCAAGTGTTTAGTTTCAGGCAAGGTGCTGAATGTGGTACAAGGAACCAGACATCAGACATCAGACATCAGGCCTGGCCAGGCAAGGATCAGGGTTATGGCCGTCATCTCAAACTGACAGCCCCTTCCCAAGTACAGAGCACTCCGACCGAGTACGTTTCAAGCAATTAGAAGGAGACTATCACAGCACCCAGCTGAAGGCTTGAAGGCCATTCAACAATTACAAAGAAGAGTATGGAGTATGGTCGATCCCTGGTGCTGTTTCCGAGTGGACTCATCATCAACTGTCATTGGCTCTGCGGCTTTGAAACTTCTAGACCAATGCATGTTTGAGATCGGCAACATACGAAAACGATCTCGCTGGTCTTTCTTTCTTTCCCGATAACGATGCCATAAGTATCGTATAAGAATCTCAGTGATGAATCAAGATACCTCGGGTATAGGATCTACTGTTGCCTGGAGTCAATTCTGTCAACACTTAATGGTGGGTTGCTTGGCAAGGCTATCGCCTCCGATAAGCTTCCGAAAACCTGCCGTGGCTGTGGCATAGGGTAAGGGGGCTCGTACGTCAATAGTCGGAGTGTCACACACTTTCGCCTCTTTGGGGTCGGGTTTTTTATGTGAGGGTAGGGAAGACGTAACCTGGCAAATGCAGGCTAGGCAAATGACGAGAGAAGAAGAAAAAGAGGTCGTCTACAACTTCACGGCAAGCGGCTCGGGGCCTCAAGCCATGTTGTGTCGTTGCGCCACATCCGCAGTTCGGCAGGTCTAGTTTTTTTCTGGAATATGTCTATCATGTGCGGAGTACCAATCAGGTAACTTTTCTTCTTGTTTTATACCCGTCACCGTGCTACACGAACAGAGATATGCAGTCTCAGCTGACACCATACGGCGAACGGAGTACGGATTTCGGAGTGGACTTGTAGAGTACACAGTCATAAGTCGCCAACAGACGGACCATCCGTCATATTCGGCATTGTCGCTTTGGCATTTATGCTCAGCACAGGAAAGATCAACTCGTTACATTCAAACCAGAACGCTACGACTTTGACATTGGCAAAGTCTCAGGTGGCCACCCTTCCGAGTGGCATCAACGTTCGAGTATGGCTCCCAGAATATTGTGTGCTGCCATGAAAAAAAATGACACTTGACTGGACAGCACCTCTACAGAAAGGGAAGTCAGCGGCTCCAGTCATTCAACACAGTTTAGGTCACAAAGTTGCATCGGCTCATCGGCCGCGCGACAATATCCGGTTGTTGTTCCACTGAAGGAAGGTTCCACCACTTCAATGCCGCCAATCACTCAAATCTGACAGCATCACTCGGCATCCGCTTGGCATTGCACCCCATGTATGACGTGCTAAGTCGGTTTAATAGCACTCCGTACGGAGTATACATATGAATGGGAAGCAAATAAAGCACTCCACATCTTCAAGCAGAACATCAGGCGCCGATAACACGTGTTCGTGTTAGTGATTCACCTGGAGTCCCGTACCGACGACAGGCTCTTGAATGGGTTTCGCCAAGTGAAAACGTCCCAAAGAGAAAAATAATCTCGTTTAACATGTCCTAGACTGGACTGGCTCCAAAAAATTTCAAAGCCAAGGCGGACGGCTCGACGGCCTAGAACTCAAGAACAGTGAGTGAAACCGTCCGAGACTCATTCGCAAGCAAGCACTACCTGGCTTTAAACATGCAATCAATCTTCCTCCCCACAGACCGGGGACCGGGGACCGGGATCTACGTTTAGCTGGGAGCACAGGCTCCAAGTTCTCTCGGGCAGCCGACGGCACCACGGCCCACATGCCAGCGAAAAGATGTCAAACTCATTTGCCAGGACTGTCGTATTGTCAGAGGAGAGCGAGCCCTGGAATCTCTTCAACCAAATATACCGAGTACGCCGTAACGCTGCACGTCTTGGGGAAAATGTGGCGTCAATCCACGATATGCCGTCCGGACGGCGATTGATGTCTGTGGTGAGGAGCAAACGACTGATGAGGCCAAGACAGCGAAAAAGCGACGATGGCCGACTCGACTCGACTCGGGCAGCCAAGACTCTTGCGGGCTCTGCCGACCCGTAGACTTGCAAAATCAGCCCGTCAGCCCGTTATCAGCCAATGCTCAGGCCCAGGCCGCCACCTCAGAGCCACTCGCTGACGTTTGATGGAAGCGCCCCTGTGCCGTTCTGGCAGTTCGCCCGAACCCATGTCCGAATTTGTTAGCTGGCCATGGACCAGCCCCTCAGCTGCACCAAGCGGGCTTCGAGCTGTGGATGTTGCGTTCCACTGAAGACGCACGCTATGCCGCAACTCGCTCACTTGGACTAGCCACGAGTCACCGGCGTGGCAACAGCAAGTCGGGCTGGTCGTCTCGTACGGCGAGAGCGCTTCGTTGCCGACTGATAAGTGGACTATGGAGTCCTTGGTCGAGGAGGCGAGCCATGCCGCCCGCGCCGACTCTACTTCACGTGTCTTTGCATCAGCTGGGGGCCCCTGGTTCAATGCTTGGGATTATTGAACCGTTATTCCCACTTGCTTGAGCTATTTGAGCCACCCACGTACGCGAGTTGGCGAGGCCCGTCGGCTGGTCCTCCGTTGCCCTTGTCAGTCTTTTCAGTCGAGAGTCCCGCTTGCTTCCAAGACACGCTTCCCCCAACTTCTCTTTTAATTTCCAATTGTCTCTCCATTTCTTGTCGGTGTTGCTTTTGCAACGATTTTCCTTCGTAATTGCTAAACAGACAGGCTCGGGTCTTGTTAGGAATCTACCTGGCGAGCGGTTGCCTATCCGAGCTAATCGACCGTCTACTTGCTACCACCGACTCACACCAAACGGTTAGATTGGCTTTTGGAGGGGACAAGACCATTTCATGGTTGGCAGTCATGCGAGGATACCATCTCCGATTGTCGGGGCTGATTCATAGGTGATGTCTCATTGATCGACATTGCGACTGGAACTCTCTATCGTGGCGCACGCGGTGTCTTGGGGACGCGGTGGTTATTCAGTCCTTCAGTTCTCCATCAAAATGAAGTTCGGCAAGAAAGCGCTGCTGGGCTCCTCTTTCTTCTTCCCATGCTTTGTCTATGCAGGGACTGGAGCGGGTATGTTCGGTTGGGACCAGATACTGGCGCCTTCACATGGCGTCTTACCCTCGTGTATAGAACTTCAACTAATAGCGATGGTCATGTTTCAGACGTCTCAAACCGCCCTCAATATCCGCGTGGAGTGCTCAATGCTACGATTATTATTAGTTCCGAGCAAAGCTTACAACGACCTTCATCAGACCCCGCTACAGCATCACCATCATCGATAAGCCACCTTATAACCGCAGCCTCATCCTCATCAACTACGACTGCATCATCACAAGGTAGCTCGAATGACTCTGTATCACTTGACCTGCCTTCACGGCAGGACCCATCATCAAAACCTACTGATTCATGGCCATCGGAATTAAGCACTCTGAAGACCAGATCAAGGATCCGCCCACAAGTATCCTCCAATTCTTCAGCTTTGCCATCAACATCAAGTCTGAGCAACCCCATCGCATCAGCCACAGCACCAAACTCTTCCACAAGCGATGGACCCTTCTCTACGTCGCAAGAGAGACCTTCTGGAAAGACGTCATCTGGTAAGCATGGAAGCACGAACAATGGTACAGAAAGTCTGGTTCCCTCGAGAACGAAGAATGGGCATCCACCATGGTCTACGCATGCATCCAATCACACCATCACTGGGACGGGGACTCGACCTTGGTCAACACATCGCAACCGTGCCAAAGCCCAGACAACAGTCACGATGGAATGTCCAATAGGTTTCGACGATTGCTATGTAGTTGGCGAGCCAAAATCTGCGGATGAACATGTCTCAACTTCAACAATCACGAGGAAATGTACCCTGTTGTGTGACGAAGAGGAGCCAATGACGATTTACTCGATTGTTCACACTAAGACGGTGACTTTTTATGGCAATAGAACTGACTATACACCACCATACTCCACGATCAAGACCCCAGTATACTGTTTGGAATTTGAAGAATCACCAGCGTCTTCAACGGCAGAGGGAGATTTTCCTGAAGTTACCCAAGTCGCAGCAGGAACCACAACGGATTTTTTCAGGTCCCTTACGCCATTCATACGGCCAAAAGTCACCTTTATCACGACAGACAAAAACCCCTCGGTCGTGTTCCCTTCTGACCCTCCACCCAATTACAGCGCAACTTGGTCTGATCCATACCCAAATCCGATAATACACAAATCTGTGCCACCTGAGGGCGATCAGGGCGATCAGGGCGATCAAGGCGATCAGGGTGATCAGGGCAGTCTAGGCCGCCAGGGCGGCCTGGGACGGACGCCTGAGGGGAACAATCAGCCGCGACCCACGTTTAATGTCACAGCAAAGGGGAACGAGGTCATCATAAACAGCGAGATATATAGTTCGCTAAAACCCGACCAGACCACGACCGTCAGCGTTGATGGGGGCAAGTTTACGATTTATCCCACAGCCATTGTTGGCTTAGGGGGCACTGTTGCGAAACCACCCCCTTCCCCGACTAAATTTGGCGTCCCGTCGCCGACGAACGGCACTGTCGGCGGACTAGACGTGTCCTTGTCTGGCTCACAGGTTGCCATTGGCGGCGTTACGATGACCATGCCGCCCCATGGCACGACGACGAATATACAGGGACAAAGCGTGACAATCAGCGCCAACCAAATTATAGTCGGAACAAGGTCATTCAAGTTCAATCCAGTCCAAGCACAGCCTGAATCCGAAGTTGTAGTTGCGGGGGGCGAAATGCTCACAGTTGCGGGTAAAAGCGTCGTAGTTGTGCATTCAAAAACAATCACGTACGGACCCGATACACCGATCACTACAGAAGTTGTTGAGGGCGACACGGTCACGATTGGTCCGTCAGGCGTTCGTGTGCATGGCCTTGTGCTAGGCGGCTTCCAAGCCAACGAGACGGACACGAAATACGAGATCATCGGCGGAGCGACCATAACCAAGATTGCCCCTTCCGTCGCCATCATCAATGGCGACACGTTCACCGTCGGGCCCGGCTCCCATCTCACAACCACGGTGATTGCCGGCCAAGAATTCACACTCGGCCCCATGGGCGTCATTGTGTCAACCATAACCCTATCGTACCCATTTGGTTCGACCGTCGTCACCACCATCGCACCGACGGGTACCTGGCTCAATACGCTTCCCATAGAGACAAGTCGTTCCCCCAAGGACGACGATGATGACAGTATGGGCCCTTCTATACGACCAAGCCTGTCCTGTGCGGGCGTGGCACTTTGCATAGCGATTGGCGTTTTAGTATTTGCATAAACTTGATGATTTTGGTTTTATTTCTTTTTCGAATATACGGTCAGGAAGACCCATTTGAACTGGTGGATCGACATGAATCAAACCATGATGATGAATTGGGACGGTATTTTGCATTTTCTCCTCCTATCTTTTATCCAACCTCAGCCCGTATCTTCTTTTTCGGCGTTTAAATACAAACGACAATACTGGAAAGGTGCATCGGAGATGGCCCGTCTCCCTCTTGGGCCATTGGACTGGTTTGGTCTATGTATGAATAATTCTGGACGGCTATGAGCCTGTACCTCTAATATATCAACCAAGTACACCAGGTACTCGGGTTGCTTGTCATTTCTGAAAAGGACTTGCGCTGAGACAACAATGAGCCGTGCACGCATCTCGCCCGTGTCCTGACTCCTGAGACAAGCATCCCGTCAGTCTGAGCCGCAACGCGCCCCTCAAACAGTTGTACATACATATAAAGGGGGCGCCACGGGACCAACGTAATTGGAGTGTAACTGCCGTTCACTCATGTAAACCGCGGCATCGGCCCCAAAATATGCCCAGCCGGGCCGGGCACAGCGCCATCCAAGGTCTTGATTCTATATTCTTGACACGCGCGGCGGCGACTTTCCTCTCACCGCGCCCAGTTGAGACTGTACGCCATCCACCATGGCCATTTCTTGAACGCGTGTTTCACCCTGCGGGCATGCGATTCTGTACAGTTGCCTTTCCGCCATTCCCATCCAGGCACGCAGTGTCATGGACCTGCGGCACTTTTGATTTTCGAGCCAGCGGGGCTGAATCAATTCCCTTGGCGGTGTTCTGCTCTGAAAAAGGGGCGCCGTACTATTTTTAAAATTGACGTCGGGGTTCGCCCGTCCAGTACTCCGAGAGACTGGTATTCCCCGCGTGTAGTATGCAGCACATCAATGCATAGCATGAAATATCCCGGCCGCAGACACAAGCATATCAAATGGAATCAACGTCGTAGAGCGGAAAACAACAACTGTAAATTTAAACAAAGCTGCCAATGTTGAATTAAGCACCATGCGTTGAATCAAGCCATATCCATCTACTGCCTACTAATGCCCTTCCCCTTCCCAACACCCTCCGTATCAAGGGGTGGGAATTCACTCCCGACATGCACACCTAGTCCTACCTCCTGCTGCTCCTGCATACTTAGACTCATTGCCAAGGCAAGATCTTCGTCTTCAGTGTTTAAATTGGATCGACTCCCGTTGACGGGGGTGTGACTCGTTGGTCCGGGCGAAGTAGATGTCGAACGAGACCCCTTGGCTTTCTTGGTCTTGACTCTGATTTGGATAGGAAAGTGGGCATCGCTAGAAGAATTACCACGCGGAGATTGACCGAGATCATTTACGCCTTCCAGCAGCGAGAGCCGAATCGCTTGCTGGATTTGCTGCTCGAATTCGCTCTCATCATTGTCGGTCACGCTGGCCATGGGAGGGCTCACATCCGTGACGCTGGGGTCCGGAGTGATGATGTCGACCGTGGTTTCGCTAATGGATGATGCTGTATCTAGACTTGCGTCAGCGGCAGAGTCGCTAGCTCGACGCTGTTCTTCCTGGAGGTAGGCCTCCTCGGAGACCATTTCCGCGTATCGAAGGGCCTCCTCTTCGGTGAGGTCGCCTAGAGCGCCAACACCAAAGCGTTTACGGAGGTGCGCCTGCTCGCGGGCGCGGGCTTCATTTTCACGACGGAGCTCTCTTTCCTCTGCGGCAATGTACCCCGAGACCGTGCCACCAAGTCTGCGGCTGGCAATGCGTCCGTGGATATCGGAGTGTCTGGCTCGACGCTTCCGGCCTGTCGGGTGACTTGCTGAGCTGTATGTCCAGTACCGAAGAAATGCGCCAAAGGACACAACGCCCCGCAGAACCGTTGGGTCTGGATCTAGGTAGATGGCACCGACTGCCGAATAGTCTCCCTCCCGAAGCGTTGGGTTCATGGTCATCATGTGGCGCGGCACACGGCCATTGGATCGCGCATTGAGAGTTCGGATAGGCTCAAAAGTCGATGCAAGGGGATCCCAGGCTTGCACGAGGCCATCACTTCCTCCGTGAACCAAGTACAACGCTGACGCTGCAAGGCACGAAATTTTGGGAGAATCCGTGTGTAAAACACGCAGAGGCTGTGCCGCTTGGTGTCCGACTTCATCGCGAGCATTCCATACCGTGATAATTCCAGTGTCAGTGCCAATGGCCAGGAGACGGGCCCGACGCCCCGGAATCTCTGTAACAGCCTGCTCAGCCTTCTCCACTGATGTCTTAGTGGGGGTAGTCGTAGTTGCAGTGAAAACTCCAGGTGCAGCAGTAGATTCTCCTGCTACGTGCAAGGGGTCCTCGCCGAGCGTGAGAAGAGAGAGACTCGAGCAGTCTAAACTGCTAGCGGTGATATTGACTGCCTGTTGGCCGCCCTTGAGCGCAAAAGCAGTACAGTCCCAGTCGTGCAGGTTGGCTATAGACTCACGCAACGGCGACATGGGCGTCGGGGGAGGCGGGTGCGGCGATTGAGGTTCCGGGGTTGCACAATCCATTGCCGTAGTCATTTCCGTCGATCCAAAGAGCGATGGTCGTGGTCTGATCTGTGCGGTTGCTGTAGAATCGCCTCGTTTTGGAACATTCTGTTCATGCTGCACTACGGGCGAAGCCAGTGACCGGCAGTACCGCAGGACTCGAGCTGGTGTTTGCTCAGCAAGTCCGCAGTCAATCACGAAAATGCCTTCTCCGGCCCCTTTGCCATCATCGCCGGCAAAATCAACCTCGAGCCTTCGTCTCATATCCCAGCCCTCGCATACCTTGCGAAAGTGAGAAGGCTTGTAGCGAAGGTACTTTTCGATTTCGCGAGCTTCAGCTGCGAGTTGCTCTTTGCTAAGGATCATGTCATTTGATGGTGAGCGTGGTGTATAGGCTCCTCGTACCACGTTCTTGTCCAACTCATCCGGTCTGGCAGTGCGCCTAGTCGACTCTACCAGGTGCCAGTATGCTGTCCTACCTGCAAGCCATGCATGTCTAATGACATCGTTTCCCTTGCCGCGACTGAGTGTAGTCACGGGGCTCTCTGTCAAATAGTAGACTTCGCCTAAAGCATTAAGAGCTACAGCCCAGACTCTGAACGACAACTTTCGCTTCACACTATAATTATCATCAACCTTGAGTGAAATGATTGGCACGCCGGGGCTGAGAACCCATCGGGCTGTCATGTCGCCATTGACGTATCGTGGACCATTAGGATCGCTTCCAAGTGAGTAGGCAGTGACAACGCCCAAGGCAGAACCCGTCAACATACCGCACATAGACTGGGTGGCGGCTGGGACGGCCGGCGACTTTGCAATCCACAAACTGCAAATGGCATCCGACATTTCTGGAATCTTGGGTACATCTGGGTACGTGTCAACTACTCCAGTGTCACCACCAAGGTAGCGACCACAGGACTCATTGATGCCTCGAAAGTGAGCGCGACCGCCTGGGAAACCTTCGCCAGCTATAACACCATACGGTTGACTGACATCCATGACATTGGGGACAGCGACAGGTCCGTCTCCGAGACCATAGGGAACAAGATTGGGCACCACTTCTTCCAACTGAGCAGCCGAGAATGGGTCCTCAAGGCCCCATTTCTCAATCTTGCCACTTGTCGGATCGCCCATGGTAGCAACACCAAGATCACCAGCTCCCTGGATGGCGCGCGGGGGCCGCTTACCGCTGGAGAAGACGGCGTGAAGATTGGTAACCAGCCATGGGAGCTTTGAATTGTATGTCAGGACAGCACTCCTACGCTTGGAAGATTTGTTTGCTCCTCCGGAAGCACCAATACCACCGGAGCTACTTCCAGGCTTGCCTCGTGCCAAACTTCTCATCAGCCGAGTTCGAAACAGGTACTCGCTCCGCCAAGTGGCCAGAGGGGTTAGGCGGCCAAAGTAGCGTATGTCAGATCGCACGACATCAGAGGTCGACCCGGCCCAGAGATCGGCAGTTCTTTTCGCAGATGTTGTATCCAAACACGTATGCCCGGGGAAGTATCGCATGAATGCCATGCGCCATGCATGTGGAGTCGTTACCAGCGCATAGAAACGTTTCGACACCAAAGCCACGGCGGCATGGGAATCAGGATGCAGATGTGATAATATGTGTGTCAGGATCTCTGCAACAGCTAGCGGTTAGCGCAAGAATACGTTGGCGGATGGCTGTTCTGCTGGATGTGATGTAGCCGCATGATAGCAAGCATTTCTGTCGAGAAAACAAAACTCAAGTACGCAAAAACTAACCATTTGGGAAATCTGTCATTTGAGGGCCATCAGATGAGTCAGAGCGTCGAATGACCTTGAACCCTAGAGCTTGCCTCGGAGTAGGCGGCGTAAGGGCGTTTTCATAGTCTGAAACTCTCTGACCGGCAGTGATAGGGCGATTTCGACTTGTTTTGGGCTTCCCGTGAAGACTCAATCCACGCAGTTTCTCGTCGAGCTTATCAGCATCGACTGCATCGCGAGGTTCACGGTCAAGGTCCGACACAGAATGCGGCGAGGCGCTGTGTGAGCCACAGCTAGAGCTTGCGGAGCGGACTTGACGGATGTCGCTGGGCCCATGGTGAAGAAAGCCATGCTGAGGGGATGAGCTTGGAGCTGGGGTGTTGTTGGACTGGCAAATCTGTTCTGAGGACTCGGACGGCTGTCGTTGCATATAGCTAAGCGCGGAGAGAGAGGTGCGACGAGTGTTTTGGCTGTGCACGATGTCTTGCACAGTCCGTGGGAAAGAATCGACCAGGAGCTTTGGAGGCGATGGAGAGAGTTGACAGATGAAAACCAATTGAACGGGATGATTGATATGGTCTTGTGCGTGATGGGCCGCGATAAGCAAGAATTGTGTCAAGCAGAAAAGTACTATGGCCTTGCTCATGACGCGACTGTCCTGACACCACGAATGCAAGTGCTTATTTTGCCGGTGTAACTCCGAAAAGGGGCAAACGATGGAGCAAGCTCTCTAAACTCCACATCCAACGTTCCCACGTCGCCAACGCGACGCATGTCAGTTCGAATATACACCACGGTCCATATTTCACTCCCTCCGCTTTGCTGGTTATATTCATTCTTACATCAGCGTCATGGCATTACTGTATTATGACGAGGCGAATGCCCTGCGCATCTGCGACTGAAATCACAACCCTCGTGACTTGACCGCCTCTTGTTAGTTCTCGCTACCCTTCCGTGCCCAATTTTGTCTCGCGTTAAGACAGCAAATGAAATCATGTTTCTGGCAGTCCCCATGCTATCTATCTCTCTGTGTGTACTTATCCTACCTGGTACCAAGGCCCTCACTACACTGACGCCGTGGATGTCGCATCGATCGGCTTACTTGTGACGCGGGCAAGTGTTGTACCGGATTTCTACAGTACTTATGACATGTGTCTCTCTTTTTTAAACCCGCCCTTGGCGGCACGTCTGCTAATTCTGATCCATGGCTTGTATGGCTGCACATCAATATTTCCCGTGAAATACAGAAGACATGGGCTGCCTGGCTATTCTTAAGTCTTCGATATCGTGTGGGCTAACAGGCCAGGCGCACGCATTTGTTTTGTTGCGCGTGGTGTAAGTAAGGGTATCCCTGCAAGATAAAAAAGAACACCTGCCATGTGGCATTAAGATGTGGTCTGGATCGGCACCCAGATGTCCGGTATCAGGAGGCATGAAATTATCAACGCTGTCAGACTGATGGCCTCTTGGAAAGTCGTGGCACGGCTTGTTGGGGCGACAGGGAGACAACAGACGAATGAAACTCTTTGTGCTGCCTGGCTGCTCAGAGCTACCTTTTTTTTTGTTTTCATCGTCAGCTACTAATTATCGTAGTCTTAGTGAATTATCCTCAGGCTACGACAAAATACCATTGATCCACGAAGCCGAGTTCCCCGGTATCATGAAGTCGTTGCGGAAATACTTATCAATCATCGCGAATACCGTACCGAAGATATTCGCATCTCTTTGCCAAGCTTCAGCCACCTTGTGTTACTTGGCCAGCCGGTCCGCAGCAACGGAACACACCGGTCAAGCTTTCAGCACCGACACTCGAGTAAGTTAGACATAAAGAATATGCCCTTTAGGCGGTGTGAGAGAGTGCAGGGTGTGTCGTCTATCTGGAGCTCCAGACCCGGCCAAATGTCTAATGTCTTGGACGAGAACCGCCTGGTTGGGACTTGGGAACCGGATCCCGGTTTCGGGTCGCCACTTTGCCAGCTTCCTGGACCCTATCCCATGAATGAGCTGTTGCGTTATTGCATAGTCAAGGCCCCATAGTGCGTTGGCGCCTTGGTTCTCTTTAGTAGGCTGCAATTTATTTATTTTTCAACTCACAAGATGCAACCGTGCAGAGGGTGCGTAGATTGGCTGTTTAATCACGAGAGACAAGTGGAGGGAACTACTTGTGGCTCGATAGGAATGCACTGACCCAGCCAGCACTCTCAAAAAAAAAAGCTATGAATCAAGGGTTCTAGTGCGGAGGTCATGAAGACTGAGTTGCCGCGGTCTTGTCAGGTAGACTTTCTCTGCTCTGCAAATGCTGCCTCAGACCTCGTGCGTGAGCCTACGGAGTAGACTGGTGTTCCGACTTTCTGGTCAGTGATGGTGACTGGGCCACAATGGCAGCGCGGTGACGACATATTCACCAGTTGGTGGGTCCTGTTCTTCACTGTGCCGTCGCTGGAGTCAGGTTCGTCCGCTCAGAAACCTGGAAAGTGCCCTCCCTGTTCCCTGGATCATGCATGTTGCCCAGTGGGTGGGTTGCATTTGCTTGCCTGTGCGTCACTGACGAACGATATTAATGTATGCGGAGCTGGGAGTCAAGGACAGCTTCCCAGAGCCAACAAAGGAAAAACAGGGCAAATAATGCCCGCACCAAGTACAAGCATAACATGGCAACATCGGCTGTGTCCAGAAGAAGGGAAGGAAGCTGCTGACGTCCAGTGTACGAGGACTCCCGTTTGCCTATGGTCTAACAGCACGCACTCTCCGGGATACAAAGCCAGAGCTTGTCGAGGACGGATTACGATCAAAGCATCAAGGCTGAAGTGACAGGTTTCATCCAAGTCCGTGCTATCCATGTTTGGAAGGGACAATGATATGTCGATTGTGGCCGATCCCAGTCGCATCTCATAACTCGGCGCAGCACTCTACTGACCTGCATGCCTCCACGGACCTTTGACGCGGCAACTCATGGCTTTTCTTGATATCGACTTGCAGGTGCTGCTCAAGCCAACGATACGGGGGTATTTATTCCTTCTTCAGTCGGAAAATGTGTTTGTGAATAACCTTGAATTCTGTAAGGACACGCCCTGACAGCCGTGGGATGGAGCGGGCGGAAGCATTTCGTGACGGGATTTGATGAATACCCTGTGGACTAGCAGCAAAGTGGTGGTCCATCCCGAATCAACATCTAACTTATACCACTGAGGACTGGAAAATACACCAAATTTTCGTTTGGACAAATCGCCTGCCGCTATCAAGGCAAATTGCCGAGAGCGCGGTACGTCAGCGCCACCCGCCGAGTACGTTTTGGGCGGCAATAGGTTCTCACCGGCGCAGTGGTATCCAGGTGAAATCCGTCCACCGACAAGGCAGTCAGCGACTCAAACATCATGGGCCACTACTAGGGATGTGGCATTCTGTATCTTCCATAAAAGCGGTTGAAACCGGCCGAGGTGGAATAGACATTGCTGCAAGGCAAGTTTTGAGAGGCACGCCCGCAATGTTGCATCATGACCACGTCCAGACAAACGGTTCGGGCCTTTTGAAGCTGGATGCGAAAGTCACGCCGTAATAATGCACAACCATGGCAATGCAATTGAGGCAATTGAGGCAATGGGGCCACATGCCCAAAGGCTGTGGTGCAGGAGAAATGTAGGGCCCTGCTGGTGAGAATTGATACATCAGATTTTGGCACCCAGCATCGCGTGGTGGTCGGGAGCTATTTCAGTCGTTGAGACATCAGGCACCCCAGCCCGTCAACGTGGAGTCTGCCCAGGACCCCGTAATCCTAATCCCCGACCCGTACGGAGTACTGTGCTGAAATACTAGTATTCCGTACTCGGTACGAATACATGCAGAACACGGAGCACGGAGTAATTGTGCGCGATCGGACGCTCGGTCGTTCGGTCCTGACTTATGCGGGGATATGGCAAGCTGTACGGAGCACTCCGTAATCCATAGCATTAATAATGATGCATTGGAAGCGGCTTTGGTTCCGTTGGCCCTGCTAATGGTAACCATTTCGTTTGCGAAGCTTGTCCCTCGAGTCGGCAACCACCAGGAGCGAACAAAGCCATCGGCCAGAAGGCGGCTTGAGCGTCGAAGATTTGGAAGCACGAGGCAACCTGATGAAATTTGACGAGGCCCGGAGTAATGAAACACAGGCTTTAGTGTTGGCTGAGGGACATGCAGGCCGTCTGATCTCAAGTTGACTGACTGCCCTGAACGGCGGTAGACAAGAAGCGAAGCGACAAGTGATTAAACTGTCAGCGAATTCCGTACCAAGTACTCCGTACATGGCTTGCGTCCAGAGTTTGATGAGATGGAGGCGTTGAGGAAATAATGATGCAAAAGAGCAGGCACCAAGCTCCGACTCTGGATGGCTCCTTCCGCATCTGTAACAGGATACTACACTATGGCGCTTGAGTTTTCGTAGCCGAGTATAGCGCTACGGGAGTGTGGAGTACCCGGAAAGTAGCGCACGTAGGCGGGTCGTAAGCTACGGTACGGAATTATATTTTTGAAGTACGCCAGAGGTAGGTACCTCCCGACGCAGCATCTGCCAAAGGTGCTCCGTACTAAGTAGAATATTTGGGGTTCTCCTTCCTTCGGTCCAGACGATGGCTTCTGGTGGCGTCGACTAACCTCCAGGGCCGCCGTCAGCGCTGAAGTCTGTCGTCTCAGGTTTTTCTTTCTGCCCGCCGTAATACACCATTGGCATGTTGTGCTTGACGCCTCTCACCGTTGAGCACATACATTTCTCATGCATTCCAATCACGGATCCCGTATTCTACGCATACGATGCAAAAAAACATACATACAATGCATACGACACGGTGCTCTCGCTAGCCCCCCATACTGTGCGACTTTCTTACAGTACAGCAGATGTCTCTACAGCTTCACGAGTCGCTTTACAAGTCACCATGTGTTGAGCAGGCCATGCATCGTTCGTGACAGCCCCCCTGCATCGCTGCCCGTCCCTCATCTCTCTCCCCGTCTCGGCTGTCCAAAAGCAACAACCGGATGAATTGCGGCATCCTGACAATGCACCGCTGCGGGCTGGGACTGCAAAGGCTATTGGCACCAGACTGTCGGTTGCTCCCTCTCCACCAACGACAGGAAAGCAGCATCCCCCCTCTACCTGGCTAGTACATACATTGATATTGCTTGAACGAATAGATGAGAGATGGGGCGTTTGGGCCGGTGGCCTGATGGATCCTGGCGGGCTTGCCAGCACATCCCTCTCGGACCAGTTGACGACTCTGTGCAGAGGACTGCAGTAGTAGCTCCGTCCCAGCGGTACCAATGGCACGAGACATCGAATCCCAGAATCTCGGGCCCAAAGACAAGCTATTGTACGGAGTACTAGCTAGACGGCTGGCCCACACACCCGGACAGCGTCCGTCTCCGATGCTCTGGTTGGGTCCATCCCTGCTCTCCCAGGGCGGCCGATGGGAGAGATGAAGCACGGCGTCGATGGCGTAACGACGCAGAAGGGCACAGCTGGACAAGACGCTTGGCCCTGCCGCTGCGAGCAACAGATGGTGTCGTATGCCGTCGCCCTCAGACAAGGCTCCTCATTCCTGGAAAGGCGAAGGCCTCTCGCGGATGGTCTTGTTGGCTTGGGATTTGGCGTTGGCCTTGGGACGCCAGGCTCTTTCTTCTCTCCAGGCAGATACAACATAGATTGGTCTCCGCTCTCTTTCCTTCTCCCCACCACCATTCCGTGACCCTGGCGCTGCCGCCCGTCATCAAACGACCAACAACCAAAAAGAAAGCCACGCAACCGGTCAGCCAGCAGGCTGGGTCGCCAACCCACTGGAACCCGCTCATCGGTATCGCCCTGCTCCGTGGGCTCATGATGCGACTCCACACCACGGACCACAACCACAGCGCCTATTGCCACTTTATGCATAGTACCGGCGCAATCGATGCAGCTCCTGCAGCTGCAGAGTTCTCTAGTCTGTGTGGTTGCGTTTGTTTGCCAGGAGTACACGTCCAGTTTATTGACTGGAGACAATTTTCACGCTAGCTAGCTGCCGCCTCGTCCGTTCCGTTGTGGTGGGATTTTCGGTCCCAGGGTGGCCATCGTCACTCCACAAGCCGCTCTCCTCAGTTTACGCTTCATTTTCGTCCTTTCTTGTCTCCCTCTTGCTCCCCTGCTCCGATCCTTCGAACCCCTTTCCAAGCACTTTCTTCTGCTGCCATCTGGTACTTTTAGCCTTTTGCGCTTGTGAGAGAGGCAAAGAGAGGAAACCCAGGATCGCTGTGTCTTGACCCTTCAGGGTTTCACAACTATACAGAAGCCGACGGTTACGTTTGGCTCACACGCCCAGCTTTATGGCAAAAATCGGCATCCAGAACCCAGAGAGTGTCAGGCCCGAAGCACAACCCCTTTCTTTGCCTTTGTTGCCTACTTTCTGAACGAGTCTGCAGCTCTCGCAAGCTCATTGCATGACTCAAGCTAGAAACCAAGCGGCCCAACTGTTCTGGCCGGCGATAGCACTCCCACCGCCTGCTTTTTGCTGGCAATGAGTCAACCCGGTACAGGAACGACTTCAATGCCGGGGCAGGATGTAGATGGCAAGGGAGTTGGGAGAGTTATTTCCAAAGTGAAGAACGCATTCAAGTCTGACAAGCGGGAAGCTGCCGCCTCGAGCACACAACCACCTTCTTCTCCACGGGACGACACCCGATCAGATGCGAGCCAAGGATCAACGCCTGCCTCCGCGGTACCCAAACTGAAAATTTTAGAGGAGCGTGCGAAGAAAATGGGTGAAAAGTTCGGGCTGGTCATTGAATCATCCGACTTTTTAAGCCACTCTCCGAAGGAAACGGTTTTGCGAGTGGACAAACCTATCCGGATGCGCGTGCGGCGCAATTGCCACCGGTGCAACACGACATTTACAACCGGCAATGAGTGTACCATGTGTCAGCACGTTCGATGCGAGAAATGCCCCCGCCACCCGCCCAAGGAAGGTGAGGCTGGATATTTGGCCCATCTTGCGCAGTTGGAGGCGGAGCTCAAGGCCAACAAGGAAAATCCTCCAATTGTGCCGGACTATTTCTGGGGCGACGAACGAATAGAATTAAAACGGCCAAGCAAGACTGGAGGGCAGGATTTGGTCCACAGGAAACCCCGACAGCGTGTTAGGAGGACGTGTCATGAATGCCAGACGTTATTTGCTACTGGCAGTAGAAAGTGTGAGAACTGCAACCATATCCGTTGTACTGATTGCCCAAGGGACCCGTAAGTCTTGCCGCCTCGTGTCTGTTGAAACATGTACATTTGCTAACACTCTTGCAAGGCCCAAAAAGGACAAGTACCCATTCGGCTATCCCGGTGATGCGTTTGGACCAGATTCTGATGCACGGTTTGAGTGCCATTCTTGCGAGATGGTATATCCTGCTGGAGCTGAGGATGGCACTCCTTGCATAATGTGCGGCTTGGAAAAATCTGTCGAATCGCCTCGAGCCTTGCCACGAAAAGTGCAACCTGCTCCCGACCTGGAAGTTCTCAGCAGGCTGCAGGCTAGATTGGATGGACTGAGAGCAAAGGACTCAACCTGACATGGTATTTTGGCAACTATCCGGGCTGCAGCACTATGCAGGATGTATCCTTGACAGGGCACGTCCGACAAGCAGTCTGGCGAATAGTCTTCGTATATTATCACGCTCGAAACGACAGCAACGACCTTGATGACAACACTTGGCTTCCCCTTCTTCTTTTTTTTTAATGCAGGCATCTTACGTGGCTTCGACAAGGCCTAACATGGATAGCTTGGAGTACCCTACCCCAGGAATCATCGGCACTTTGTTTTATCCATATTGTATTTCAATGGCTCTAGGATTATTGTCCAATGGCAATTGTGCCGAACTTTTAGACGCGGGAAACGGCGCGGGAAACGGGCACGGAACAGGAACTTTTTTCCCCGGCAAGTCTCAGTGTGTTCTGGGTGGGATTTTGGGTACATAAAAAGCATGAGCAAGGAGTGATCTACCGTTTTTATTAGTATATTCTCTGTACATAAATTAACACCAAGCCAGATTGATATCTGCAGCCACACTTTGACAGTAAACTCCAATACAAAGCTTGCTGACACATGCGGCCAATGACCTATCTACCGAGACAAGTCTTCGGACAACACTACCCCTGTACCCGCAGCCCATCTTCCTTGATAAGAGGCTCCAGCGATATCATAGATCCCTGGGGCACAGAAGCGCCCAGACTGTCCATCCTATTCGCCTTTCTGCCTATGTGGCCGCCGACGCCTCCGTCCATCCGGTTATTCAAGTACGGCACCTGCTCATCCACCTTTCCCTGCGCAAGGGCCGCATTGAAGCCCGCAGGGTTCAGAATAGGCATCAGCCGATGAGAAGGGTAAAAGCGTCCCTTGACGAGCTGCTCGTTTAGCGTGAGATTCTCCTTTACCAGCACCCAGCGCCGCGGGTTGGCGGGGTTAAGCTGATTACGCCACGATGTCTCGTCCCTCAAGGCAACGGGGAGCTGGTCCTCTGGAACGACGCTTGCCGGGGGCGAGTCGGGTTTGGCCAGCCGGTACACGTTTCCGCGGAAGAAGACGGCGCCCGGGTATTCCTTTTTGGTGAATATGTACCGAAGGCCCATGATGGACGCGTCACCCACGGAGGGCTCTGACGGAACGGGCTTGATGCGCAGGCAGTCGCCTATTTCGATTCGTTCGGCGCCGAAGAAGCAGCCATAGTAGGGGAGGGTGTCGGCGTTGGGGTCGTCGGAGAGGGGACACCAGAGGGAATAGGAGGCGTCAATGCGGGAGGCGGCAAGTTTGGAGGCGTCAAGGGCGAGGAGTTCTCGTTTGGGGGGCTCGTTTGCCGCCGAGTGGAAGAGGGCGTCCCAGGGAATCTGGTCGAATGGCTTGTCTTTGAGTTCTGCGACGGCAACGGGCGGGACGGAGAAGGCGTGGAAGGGGCGGAGGTCGGACTGGGGTTTTGTGACGGTTTGTTGGGGAACGAGGGCGTGGCCGAGAGGCAGCATGGTGTGGGTTGGGGAGGATGGGTTGGGACTGGGTGAGGCAACGATGCCGAGACGCCAGGTGTTGCCGTTTTGGTACCATGTTAGTTCGCCGGCGCGGAAAAGGAGCGAGCCTGAGAGGGACCAGCGGACCGGTTGAGGTTGTTGTTGTTGTTGTGACGGTGGTGGTGTTGGTTTTGGTACAGGTTGTTGCTGTTGTTGCTGTTGTTGCGGTGTTGGCTGTGGTGTGTTGGAGTTTGACCGGGAGGGTATAGCTACTATTAAATGATTCGTGGACTTGGTTGATGTAGATTTCGAAGTTGGCGGTTTGGTAGCTGGTGTTGCGGACGTGGTGGGAGGAGTCCGCCCAGGCTGTCCTGGGATTGCAGGCAACGGAACGGGAGTGACTCTTTGCGCGGCAGCTGAGACAGGAGCCGGCATTGGTGTATTGGACGAGGACTTGACTCCGGTGCCAGACGCCGTAGCTGCTGATACGGGGATAGGCGTCTCACCGGGTGTGATGATGAGTGTTTCTTCCACCGACGCCGCAAGCTTCGCAGGATTGGGGAGATTACAGTGTACGCAGCAGCAGTCCTTGTAGTCTCTGGACGCAGAAAGTAGCCAGATGAGGTGGACGCCGAATTCCTGCGGGCTCTTGTAGAGCTTGGTTTTGATGGGATAGCCTGACACCCAGAGATGTTTGGACTTTTCATACAGCCAGTATCCCCTGGGAAACTGTACGTACCACGGGTTTCCTTCTACGTCTTTAGTTAGCCTTTCCTTGTCTGGGGTTAAAGAGTAGGGGAGGTGTTGCGCACCGTCGGGATTTGGTGAGAGTTCCTGCTTGAGCAGAATCCCCAGCTTGATGCGCCACTCGATGAACCGGGGATCGTCTTCGGCCAGCCGTGTCATTTGTGGTTTCACACGGGGCGTCTTTTCAACTGCCGCCGCCGCTACATCTTTTCCAGTCCTTTTGGGGGCCGTATTCGTAGAGGGCCAATATCCCGGGCCTGTGTCTGCGCCGTCGCTGCGAGCGATGCGGACGACGTCAAAGTCTTTGGTGTCTGCTGCCATGGCCGTAGCTTTGCGGCCTGCGAGTGTCTTTGGATATATGTCTCCAACGGTTGGAGAACTAAGGTCTTTGTGTCTCTGCGCCCCGTTTATTTCGAGGACAACACCCTCGGCCCGCCTCCCGTGGGTTGGTGACTGCTTTATATGCTTCGACGCATCAACTGACGAGGGTTGGAGGAAAGCCAGGTTCCGGAGGGGAGTGAGATGTGCTACCCTTCACGTTGCTGAAGGTTCGAAATGGAAAAGTGAGATGGATCAATTGAATGTAGCTAACAACTGTTTCGATGATAGGAATGATATTGCAGGCATTCGATGTCGCTGACACGGCACCATGATGAGATGAAATGTCAACCTGATAGATGCACGAGCCGTTGTCGAATAGCTTGTTCTCAAATGCGATGAGTCAGCAATACTTTGGTTACCCTAGACGCGGCCTGGTTTGTAAATGTCAAAGTCTGATGGCGCAAGTTTTGGTTTTGCGCACAAATGTATGTGTGGTTTCGATGCATGACGGAAGTTTTTGTATTCTCCAGGTCTGTGTCGTGTTGTTTTTGGACAATTTGAAGCAAAATGCATTCATCTCTTAACTGTAAGTGGCTCGTCCTCTTGGTCGCTGATGGGTGGCGCTGCACAACGAACTTGGGACGATGGGATATGGGAGCATAGACACGAGCCTATGGGAAACGGTCAGCAAGCCGCATATAACCAATCATGGGGCTAAAAATTTAGATACATAATTACTTAAGTAGATTAACGAGAGCGTGGATTGAGCCCAGCTCGGTATTTCCTTCCATTCATTCAATTTGATCAAACGTGGCCACTCGCGGAGGGTTTTCGCAAGGAGTGTGATTGCTACTTACGCACCGCCACATCAATTAACGCCTTTTTCGCGTTCCACTTCAGCTTCATCAGACGCGTCGGCGCACCCAACCATCAAGTAATTATTATACCTGCTTGATACAGAATCGAACCAGACGCTCTTCCATTAGACATCTGCCGAGTTTAAGCAGCAGCAGCTCACCATGGACTCGGTCCTCGGTCCAGACTACGAAAACAGTCACCGAGCATTCCTCCAAGCCCTCCTCGCTCACAGCACGCTCACGTTCGAAGAAGCGCAACCAGTCCTGGCTGCCATATTCAACGCCGCCGGCATCCACGAATCAGTTGTCCGGCCAGAGCAAATCACTGAAGATGAATTCAAGAGATACATCGAAGTAGCCTCTGACGCCGCCTCCCTCTTTGATTATGAAGTGCGCAGCATCATGCACCAAGTCACCAAGCACCGGGTGTACGCTCTCGTAAACACCCAGTCCGACCCCCAGACACAGCTAGCCACGACATACAGCCCCGAAGAACTAGCCTTTATCAAACGTGTCCTTGACGGCATGTTTGACAAATACAACACGCCGCGGATGGAGGTGCTCGCCATTACGGAAATGCAGGCCATCAAATTTGCCAGACCACCCAACCGTCGGCAGAGCCACCTGGACCCCGAGGACTCGACGGAGACGCAGGCGCAATTAGCTGCAGCAGACAAGGGCCTTAAACACAGCGAGGTGGAAGCCGTCATGAGGAGTCTCGTAGAGGGAGGGTGGTTTGAGAAGAGCCAGGATGGCTTCTACGCAGTCACTCCACGAGTGTTGCTTGAGCTACGTCCCTGGCTGGTGGAGACGTACAACGACCCTGATGCTGAGGCAGATGAGTGGCAGCGCATCAAGTTCTGCGAGGCGTGCAAGGATATCGTCACCATCGGGCGGCGGTGTGCCCAGCCCAGTTGCACTTTGAGACTACACGACATGTGCCAGGATGCGTTTTGGCGGGCTAGGAGGTCGAAGAATTGTCCCAAGTGTCAGAAGGAGTGGACGGGAGACCGGTATATTGGCGAGAGGGCAGTGACCATGACGGAGGCGTATCAGAAGGGGAGGAGAAGGAGTGGAGGGAGGAAGAGCACGTTGGCCGACGATGTTATCCAGCAGCAGGGGATGGAGGAGGATGTGGACGAGGACGACGACGAGGAAGACGAGGACGACGAGACGTGATGTGGCGGAGGGCAAGTGAGACAGTGATTGATTGTATGAGTACTCCGTAGCAAAAATTGAGACTAGGGTTATACTGCGAAGTGGACGTGTTTTCAAGAATCAAGAGCATCGCTAGCCCACTATATGTGTGAGCTGTGACAATGTTTCAGCACCGTTGCTTGGAGTCGAATGACGAGACCGTACATGTCCACCCACGCACTGCGAAATGCCACTGTAACCGCCAGGGGTCACATGTGTGCAGATGCAACCAGTTCAGATGGCTCGATGACCTACCGGGCACAAACTTCCAGGTTGGATGGCGGCTCGTGACATCATCATGTACGGCGTGGCGGTGCAAAAGCGGCCGCCCGCCCGCACAGCCAGCAAACAGTTGACGACTCGATGCGCTTCCAAGCGCGCAACGTGGGAACGCGGGAGCGCTCGAAACAAAGAACCCATCCAATGAAACGGCAAGGGGTTCAAGCTCTGTCGACAATAGGGAGCGTATTTAAACAGCCACCAGCCGCACCTGGGAGCTGCAGCTAACTACTAGTACTCAAGTAGTCTGCATCTCACAGACCAGCCTGCATACCACAATCCCCAGCCCCCTCCGCGGGAACCAACAGCCGCCATCAAGTCACGATGCTGGAGTACTTCACATACAAAAAGGTCAAGAAGCACAAGGCCGAGAAGGCGGCGAAAGAAGAAGCCAGACAGGCGGCCGAAGCTGCCACACGAACCGACACCAGTGCCGCCGAGAGCAGCAGCAACAACAAACACGCACATGGCCATGACCACGACACCAGGCACCGCCGCCACGACGGCCACGAAGCCGTCATTCGACCCGACGACGAGAGCTTTCTCGAGGAACTGCTCGCCAACGATGACGTCCCCGCGCCGCCGTTGCCCCCGCGCCTGTACCTGCGAGACCTAGACTGGCCCTCCGACACGGACGATGCCACGCCGTCTACAAGCCAGCAAGCACCACCACCGCCCGGCAAGCCCGCGGACAGTGAAAGTGACAAGGACAAGGACAAAGACAAGGAGCCCAAGAAGCCGAACCGCATCTCCGCGCTCTTCACCCGCTCCAAGCCAAAGGACGACGCCCTCAAGCCGCTGCCCACCACGGCGCCCGCCGAGCAGGAAAAGGAAAAGAAGGACCTCTCCAAAGTCCTCGACCGCCTCAACCTGTCGGTCAAGAACAACAAGGTCATCAGCACCGACTCGTCCGCCGCCCTCCAGTCCTTCACCAATGTCTTCAAGGACCTCGTCAACGGCGTGCCCACCGCCTACGACGACCTCATGGGCATCGTCGACGACAAGGACGGCGCCCTGGCAAAGGGCTTCGACAAGCTGCCCAACTCGCTCAAGAAGCTCGTCACCCAGCTCCCGGACAAGCTCACCTCCTCTCTGGGGCCGGAGCTGCTCGCCGCCGCCGCCGCGAGCCAGGGCATCAAGGCCGACAGCAGCAGCGGGCTCAAGGGCGCCGCCAAGAGCGTCTTCGTGCCCGCCAACCTGCTGCAGCTCGTCACCAAGCCCGGCGCCATTGTCGGCATGCTGCGCGCCATTGTCGAGGTCCTCAAGACGAGGTGGCCCGCCTTTATTGGGCTGAATGTCATGTGGGGGGTTGCTTTGTCCCGTGAGTAATTTCCTCCCCCCTTTGCCATCGACTCTTGAGAATAGAACGTCGCCCTTTTTTTTCTTTCTTCTTTAAGCACCATGGCTGTCTAGACAGGCCGTGTTTACAAGTACCCGCGCTAACGTGGCATAGTTCTCCTCTTTGTGCTGTGGTACTGCCACAAACGGGGCCGGGAAGTCCGCCTCGAAGGCGAGCGCACCGTCGACGGGAGCGACCGTATCGAGGAGCTGGCTGATGATCCTGCGCTGCCGGCTCCCGAGCCGCCGGGCCGGGTGTCGACGCTGCGAGATGAAGACGCAGAGGTGGTTGAGGCTCCTGGGCGCAGAAACCTGTCCAGGTAAGCCTACTTGCGTAGAGATGTGTGTAATGGACCAGACTAGAATGAAGACACGCTTTGAACGAAAGGGAGAAAAAAATTTATTCATGATTGGACGGCGGCGATGCTTTTGAGATGCTTTGTATCAGCACGGATAGTACTTTGAATATATACATGTACATATAATGGGTATCTTGTCATAATCCCCGCTTCACTCCATGGATTAAAATGCTAATAAGACATAATCATCAATCATCTTGCACCAATTCCTTAATCTCTTCCCTTCCAGGCGCAGCAGCTACCGCCTCGCTCTTCTCCTGCACCCCCGTCGTATCTGTCGCGCCGCCGCCATCTTGCATCCAAAAGTCCACCTCGTCGATGACATCGTACACTATGTCCTCGACAATCTGCTCTTTGTATCGCTCACTAACAGCACGCAGCCTTTTGCGCCTTGACTCTGGTGTGTCCTCCTCGCCAGAGGGAGCAGACGCGTACTCTGGCGGAGGGTACCAGAAGTCCGGGCCAAAGTTGACTTCTGCTGCGCCGCCGCGAAAGATGCTCACTGCCGGGTAGTAGCCGAGCATGCCGTCGTCGAGGCCTTCTCGGGCACCGACCTGTGGCTGGGGTTTTGATGCCGGGGGCAGGAAACCGAAGAGATTTTCGAAGGCGGTTCCGATTAGCTGGCCGTTTTTGTATATTTTGATACTCGAGTTGGGGAGGGTCCGGAGGGCTGGGCTTGTGTGCAGAGGATTGGGGCTCTCTGACGACGACGAGCTGGATCCGATTGGTGACGGGTTCATCAGGTCCTCTAATTCTCTGGTGGTGTGGTACTCGATCTTCTCAAAGTACGTGTGAGCTTTGAAGCGGATGGGTACCCTGTCTCGAACGATGTTGGGCGCCTCTGCGCCGGGAGGGGACTCGTCGTCGGGGGCGTCGATGGCGGGGTTGTACGTGCTGGACATGATCTTTCGATGCATGTTCTCTGATGGTAGCTGGATCTCGAGACCGATGACATCGCCCTCGCGGATGCCGTCCCCTGCAGGGAAGAAGGCCTTTGGCCGCGACATGAAGACCTTTTCCCCTGCGACATCGCGAATGCCGTAGCTGTACGCGTCAAATCCGACTGGCGCATCCAGCGATGCCTCGCGTCGGGCCCAGCCCATGCGAACGTGTTTCCCCCCCTCGGGTTTCGCGCCGGCTTCAGCGGCTTCTCGCACCCCCTTTGTGATTTTGCATTCCCAATACCATCGCCCTTCTCTGACGGCGACGTTGGCACGAGCCATTCGGAATCCCTTGTCGGTTGTAACGCCTCGTCCTGACTTGTCAAAAAACACGCTCGTGGCTGCATCTTCATAGTTCAAGCGAGGTCCGAACGGCTCGGGTTCGGTCTGTCGGTAGTATAGGGTGGATGGGAAGAGAGGGTCGGCAATGCAACGGGTGTAGCGAAAGTTCTTTTTGTTGAAGACACTGGTAGCACTGGTCAGTATAACCTAAACCGTGATCCAAGGTTGGGCAGATGGAGCCTTACTGGTCAGAGGCCTCGAAGAATTCTACCCGTCCTCCCAAGCCATCTACCTCGTGGTGCAATGTCATGAAAGGGCCACGGGGAAGCTCAAAGTCGGATGGTTTTGGCGGAGCCAATTTGTATCGTAGAGGAGAGTCAACATTGTTCTGGTCCTTGACAGATCTGTGATCTGGCGTCGCGGGAGAGCTATCACGGCCGCCTCCTTTGGTCTCTCGCTTCTTGAAGCTATCCTTCTTCGCTCGCGCGGGTTTGGAGCTCTTCAACTGCGACGCGTCATCGGGGGGAGGTAGCTCAGAGGCACTGACGTCTGGGTTGAGAGGCGACGGAACGGCGGGGCTGTGATCATCGTCGAAGGCGCGTTTCTGAGGGATTGAGCCGAGAGACGTGGGAGGAGTTGGCTCTCGTTTGGGAATATCAGTGCCCGTGCTGGCTCCGGTTTCAGCAGCCATGATTAGCAGAGTGCTGGGCTGTTGCGATTGCAGCGGAAGGGAGTGAAACGTGCTTGGACTGAATTCCAGACGGCACAGGGACAGATTCGAATCTTATCAGCCAGCAGTTTCGCACGGAGAGCAAGGGTGCGGGTGGCGGCTAGCAGTGAGTGTTCCACAAGATGCAGCTAGGCGAGATGGGCGTGACGGCATGCGTGCGTGTGTGTGTGACAGCAGCCCGTGCTACATGACAATGTGGCTGGGCTCAAGGGAGATGAGATTGATAGAATCGATAAGATAACAAGGGGCCACTCCATTGTGTGTACTTAAGTGCTTACTCCGTACTACGTGCCCACCTCAAGCTTGGCACTGAACACGTACTGCAGAGTCCTAGCCCAGGTACTCGCTACCTCCTAGCAGTGGCAGACCAGGTAGCGACTCAGTAGCCAAAAGCCAAGACGCAGCCTGGCGAAAAGAACGGCGCACAGCCGGCCAATGACAGGCCTCGTAAATTGACCCAACTGAATTGGGCTTAGCCTTACCGATGTCCGATTTTGCTGTTAGTCCCTGCGCAATGAACTCGATGGCTCTGGCCAATGATGCAGCGGCGAATATAATCAAGACGCGATGAAAGGCTCTCAATCGCGTCCCCACAAACCTGAGAACTTGTCAGAGGTGCCGAGTGACGCTCTAGAGGGTCGGGGGTGACGGAAAGACGCATGTTTTTTGCGCAAGTGTGGATTTGCATCTTCATCTTGGCCCCAAGCCGCCCGCTCGCCGCCAACAGTTGAACTTGGTGTGCAGCCCCGACCCGTCTTGTACGACAAGAGGAAAAAAAACACTCGATTATCCGGAGCACATCTCTCTCAATCCGGAGCAAGCTCTCGTGCGTCGCAACGTTTTGGTTGGCTGGCGGGCTGGCGGGCTGATCTGGTCTGCCCTGCCACGATTGTCGTCCCACACGCGGCCTTCATTTGTCGTTTGGCTGCGTCTCGGCGCCTCTGCGTTTCTCCGGCCACTCGCTATGCAATCAGGGCTCCTGGCGGTGCATGCATTTCAAAACACAGTACTACTCCGTTCTCCGTATCGGTTATTTGCAGACCGCCCCGAGGGCTATCCCCTATCTTGCCATTATTCATTCATTCAGTCATTCACCCATCTGTCGCCGTCCTCACCTCGCCCGTGCAGGGTTTCCAGGTCAGTGCTCTGCACCTCGTACCATTGAATGACCGCCTGTCATCTGGCTTCCAAACCATGCCATCTGCCATCATTGATCTACCGTCTACTTATGTACCTACCATCTGCTATCAGCTATCAGCCATCTGCCATTTGCCCGTTCGCCCTTCCCCCCCTGCCCTTGCCCATTTACATGCTCTCCCCTCCTTCCCATCCTTGCGGCGTCACGAATGCTAGACTTGGGCCTGCGGCAGGTGCATTTCTGGAGCTTGTCTTTGCCTCCTTTCTCATTATACTTTTTCCGCGGTTGCCCCTGGAGTCGCCGACAGTCAGGCAGGAATCTGACGGTTTCTTCTTGCGTTGCCACGAGTCACCTGCTCCTGCCGTCTCACCTGTTTCGTCAGCCAACCACGTTTGGCGCGGCCGGCACTCGGCACACCCGATTCGCCTCAACAAGGACAACCACACGCTCACGACCTCTTTTCTCGAAGCATCTTGCCCGGGCCAAGTCGACATCTGACACCTATTTTCCGCCCTCCCTTCTCGTTGTTTTCATTACGTTTGTCATTTGAAAATCAAACAAATGACCACTGACAACTGACCTGCCGTTTGACTACCAGCGCATTTGCATATTGGGAGATTTCTGTCTAAGCCGAGTATCACGCCCCGACGCTCATATCTTATCTGATCGCTACGGGTGCTGTCGCCACCTCAAATCCCGACATCACGCCGAGATACCTCAACCACCAATCGAGTCTGGCTTCTTGCTGCGCCTGCTACTGATTGCTGATGAGTGAGCTACCAACCCTGCCACCTTTGGGCCACCAGCGCGAGCCAGGCTCCATGAGGACTGCTCTGCCTTCGAGGCCCATGCCCCCCAAGCATCGCGACTCGTCCTCCCAACGACTGTCGTCTGACCACGATAGCCGTGCGCGACAGCGCCATGATGGCAGTGCCTCCCCTGGTTTGAGAACCAGCCCGTCCGACGATGGCGGGAAGTCGTCGCGAGGACCCAGCCCCGTCCTAACCGCTGCGGAATCCGCCGCAAAGGTCAAATCGACTGGAGGAAACCTTCCCGGTCACGGTGGACAGGTTTGCAGGTTCGTATCGCTGTTCCAAAAAAAAAAAGCCAATATGAGGTATGCGACTGACCAGGGCAGCAACTGTGGAACAACCCGAACACCGCTGTGGAGGAGATCTCCCCAAGGAGCTACGATATGTAACGCGTGTGGCCTCTATCAAAAAGCTAGGAATACAGCCCGGCCGACAAGTCTCAAGAAACCACCGAATGTTGTTGCCGCTGGATCATCCCGCTCTACGCCGCCGAAGCCGACACCCTCTGGACCCAAGTCAGCCTCGAATGTGAATTCCGGAAATTATGTTTCTGCTGAACAAATGCCTACCGGCACCTGCCCTGGTGGCGGGCGATGTAATGGAACTGGAGGTGCCGAGGGATGTAACGGATGCCCAGCCTTTAACAACAGGGTGTCAAAAACTGCCCAGCTCAACATGATGCAAAGATCCAAAGGCTGCGGAAGTCGAACAGATTTATCCAATTCAGAACCTGTCCCTATTGATGTAAATGCTCTACAAACGCAAAATCAAGATGCATCCATGGTCATTGCCTGCCAAAATTGTGGAACTACTATTACGCCTCTATGGAGAAGGGATGAGAGCGGGCATACTATCTGCAATGCTTGTGGTAAGTGTCATCGGTGATTTGAGTGTACCGCCGTATACATACATAGTTTGCTATAGCATCCTACAATGATGGAAATGCTAATGTCAAGTGCAGGCCTCTATTATAAGTTGCATGGCGTACATCGGCCAGTGACGATGAAGAAACCAACAATCAAACGACGAAAACGAGTCATACCTGCCATGCAGGATGAAGAAATGGAGGATATGGCCGAGTCACCGGAGGCGCCTAAGATGGAGGTAACTCCAGAACGAGGAACTGAAAACGAAGATGGATCAATCAACCTCGGAACCCGACGTCGACCAGATGCACATCCTTTGACGATTGAACCCCAGCCTGCAGTAATGAGATCTAGCGGTCAGGTGTCTCCACTACCGTCAACGTCGGATCTCGCTGCATATCACCAGAGGAGCGGATATTCACAAAGTGTATCGAGCCATGCGAATGAAGATAATCGACTGCCGCCGATGTCGTCCATGGCTGCCGTTTCTGAGCGCCAGTCTTCCATGTCTCCTGCCTCTTTTCTTTCTCCGCGAAGAAAGCGTTCATTTTCAACAACAGACACGGAGGTGGGCAGTAACGCTGATCTTGTTCCGGATAGTGCCAAACGGATCTCTTCCATCAAATCTATTCTGAACCCGACAGGCAGCGGTGGAATGAATCGACCTGGTAGCGCCGATATGGACGATTATACACTGCCGCCACTCAGATCTGCCAGTGGACTGTTGAATCCACACGTCCACGATGTGTCCCCGAGTGCGGGGTCACGGAACGACGGACAGGGGCATGCGGACAAAATTGAGAACGAACGTCTCAAGGCAGAGCGCCGATTAGCACTACAGAGAGAAGCGGACCAGATGAGAGAAATGCTCGCCGCCAAGGAGCGGGAATTGATGGAACTGTGAAACAATTAATGCTTAATGCCTTGGACGGTCTTGCATGAGGGATGCGGTTGCGAGAGTTATGGAGTGCGGTGAACCTTGGCACGTACTAACGTGCCGACGATGCCACGAGCTTGATTATGTTTTTCCTTTATCCAGGGCGGTTTCTTGGTCATTATCTTTCATTGCTACGGAGCACGGAGTCACCAGATCAGGCAGAGAATGGCACCACAGAGCCACTTGTAGGGCATCAACATAAATCACTGCCCGATGTTTGTTTTTTATGGTTTAGTATTGCATTGGGTGCGGCACAACGCGCCCCTCGCGGGGCCAGGTCGTGGACAATCGAGCAGTATAATCGAATAGATGTTGCTTGGATAACCCAGGAATCTTGTTCCCCTTTGCTATAATCCTACTTTGCACTAGTCTGTTCTAGGGTGATTTTGATGTTTGGTCTACAATTGGGCCTAAGCTGCCACAATTTAACAGTACGACTGTATTGAAACACTCCATTTTGGCATGTCGATTCTATGAGCGAGGAGTGGAATAACCTTTCCCCTTCAATATCTCCACTTGAACGTCTAACGGCTACGGCTACACCAATGGAGCTATTTGATGGTGAGATTACTGCTAGTATCAGGTGATAAGGAGCGTTTGCCTGAAAAGCTGATCAACCGTGGTGATAGTACTGGGAAGTGCATATCAGCCGCACTCCGATGTATTTCTTTATGGATTCTGTTGATGGCGTTTTGATGGTCCGCCATATGGAGTCTGCTTTATAATCGTCTTTAGTCAATATATAAGACTATCGATTACATGGGAGGATCCTAATATGGTAACGTCCTGGCTGCCTGTTCGGCCAGGGTTGGATTAATAATGCGACCACGCTGTGGCTGCATGAGGCGGGAAGTGGGGGATCTGAATGGTGGATGATCCAAGTTTTGGCCAGAACGCACGTACATAAGGTTTGCTACTGTCTGTGCTGCTGGAACCGCCATAGCAAATGGACAGAAGGGATGTACAGATGGCTGGCGTCGATGATGTTGCGATGATTTGTTGGCATCGCCGGATTTGAGTACACTATGTAGTTGCAGCCGTACATCAAACATTTCATTGATAACAATTAGTATCTGCGGAAGTGTTGCTGACAAAGGGGTTTTGCTGCAGTTGAATGTGGTTCGAACTGAAGCCCTCGATGGATTTACTTGTGAGATGTGGCCAACTTGGAAATGTTCAACCTACCAATTTTCACGGACTTGTCCCGCGTCTTCGGCTCCAGGATCGGAGGCGCACCCATGGCGAGGGAAATAGAGTTGTCATGCAGTAGAGCGACGAAAACCACCCACAACCATGTACGGAGTATTCGTTTGGCCTGCTGGGCCACGTGTGACTGAAACTGTAGTGTCCACTACTGTGTATGTCTCACTAACCTGAGTGTAGGACCAAAATCCCGACGCGGTGGTGACTCCGGTGACTCGGAGCCTAACCTGAGAGCGAGCGAAGTTTGTGGTTTGGTGAATATGCTCTTACGGTTATAGTTAGTTCCCTGTTGCCTTGAACCGAGTTAGTAGCCCCAGTCTTTGTTGTTAGCCGTCGCCAACTTGGTACAACGCTGACCCATGGAACCTTCCAGAGCCGTCTGTTCAGGAATGGCGTCAGCCAGGGCGCCAACAGTACTAGTAGTTTGTGCGAATGACTGGCTTTGCTGAGAAAGGTGACTAGGAAACGGCGGCACCAGAGAAAAAGAAGCATAAACTCATTCTGGCCATGTGGTGTTTTTGCCCTACCCCTTGACTGAGGGTTGCAGGAACCTTGGGTGGAATGCTGCCGCTGAGCATTGTACATGGGAGAAAGCGAGGCTGGATGCATCTTCCCGGTAGAACCGGGTCGAATTTAATGACGGGAGTCAATACGGGGTATGGAGTAGCTCGAGAACAGCTAACATGCGTACAAGTTTTAGACTCTAGCGCCGAGCACCGAGCACCGAAGTTTCTCCCAGTACGGAGTAGAAGCCTCCGAGTACAGTACATCCAAGTACTTTAGTACGCTGCAGTCTATGGCGGACCGGTCTCGGTGCAAGAATGCGCCGTGACAGCTTAGGGTGAATATGATGGCGATCTGCCCGGCAGACGGTGCGACTAGAGTAAAACGGTGGTGAGATAATAACCGGGGCATGCACGGAGCATGTCCCCGGAGCCATGGCAGAGTTACTCTAACGTGCCTTTGTTGGACAGAGATTGACTCTATATGCCTTGGAGAGAGTACAATGACGGCAGCCCGGTGCTAGAATAACTTGGCTGCTGGGCTTGCTACGTGTAGATAGAGGGCGTCTCTGCAGAAGGCATGTGCTTGCAACATCACTCACGTTTGAATATGATGTAGGCTGTCGAGATATGGAATCGTGTTTCTGTTGAGTCGAGGTTAGTCGGATATTCTGCTTTTCGTAAAGAAGAAGACTAAAGTTCGGTATCAAATCAAGGGAACCAGACTGCATCTTACGGTGAGGAAAGTGAGCCACTGGAGCCCCTGCCAGCCTGGAGCAGCGTGCGCACGCGATTGACACGACTGGGTGTGAAGCGTTCAACTACTACTCCTTTTATTATTCAGCATGGAGTCATATCCGAGATGGAGATGCTGATGGCGTCCGGCGTGGTGGTCTATGCTGCAGCCTGCTGGTGTGAAGGAGGCAATGCGGAACGCAACGAGGACAACATGTGGGGAAATACGACGCAACGACTGTCAAGAGAAGGGCGCGCAATTGACATGTTGGCCGGGTTGGCCAATCCAAGCGGGTTCTGCGAGTTCAATCCCTGCGATAGCCGCCTGCGCCAGTGTTGGGGACCAGCGCCTTGGCCCCACGAACACTAAGGCCTGGCTGCATTGTATGTCGACAGAGTCGACCGATGCGCGGCAGCCTGGCATCTCATGACTCTTTTCTTCGCTTCCCCCAGTGCTAGAAGCGTCTAACCGTGACCGAATCTTTGGAAACGGGAGTTGAGAGCGCTGTCTTTGCCTCCACTTTTCGGCGCCTTCCTCAGCCCATGTACGGAGTTGCACCTGCCGGCTATAACAGAATTCCTTGGTCCATCCTTCCTAATCTGTACTGTCCGCCTGTTGAACAAAACTGAGGCTGGCCCCATCCGTCTTATCATTCCCTCCTTCTCGCTACATTCTCATCATATTCATCGCTCATTGAAAGCGAATGTCCTTTTGAATATAGATTGGGACGACAGGTTTGTTGGCTAGCATCATCACCCGCAGCAGCCGCTTGAGCATTGTCTTTTCTTTCAACCACCTGGGGCCGTTGACGGCTTTATTGTTCTACAATTACACGGCGGCAATCACATTTGCCGCCTTCGGAAACCAACCGGCGTCCCTATTTGAGCCACATCCCAGTTCCTGTGCGCCCTTCCACTTATTAGGGCCTCGTTTGACATTGACGAATGGGACATCCACCGGTTCCTTGAAGGAAGCATCTGGTATTGCGCGCCCTTTTGTGTTCGCAGCTTTTAGTCTCCTTCGTTCCTTGACACATGTCACACAACATGGCCTTCGTTGACGAGATGGACGAGTTCGTCAATTGGGACAAGGCTGGTGCTTGTGTGGGCACAGAAAGCTTCTCCCAAGAAGCAACCCTTGCTGGCATGGACGACGGCCTGGATACAGAAAACATTGGCCTCGTCTTGGCTAATGTGAATGAGGATGACTTCAGTTTCCATGCCTTGCAGCATTTTTCACAAAACCCCAATCCTCCTGGAGCTGACCTGCCCATGGACGGTACACCTGCGTTAGACCTTGCCGAGCATGCTACAAACCCGTGTGCGCACTGTGCCTCGGGAGGCTTTTCCTGCAAAAAGATCCAGGAAGGTCGTTACAAGGGCTACTGTACGAGCTGTGTTGCTCTTCGGGTCGAGTGTAGCTTCGGAGGAGCCATGTCTGATGCAGTCGACATCGACGCTCCTACTAGCGTTTTCCCGGCTAACCCATGGCCCGTCATGGGCAATCATCCGAATACCATCACGACCCAAGAGCTTTTCCCAGATATGGCGCAACCCAACTCACTCCCCTCGTCAGCCTTGGACTTCCTCAACAGGTCGGCTACCCCAGCCGATGAGAGTGGTAATTCCGGGGCCCCTCGACCAGGGCCACCTCCCAAGATTGGGGCTCGGTTCTCTAGGGAATCTGTGAGAATCTTGAAGAATTGGCTGTCTACTCATAATCGACATCCATACCCCAGCGATGAGGAGAAGGAGGCATTGCAACGTCAGACGGGCTTGAATAAGACTCAGATCACCAACTGGCTGGCCAATGCCCGGCGAAGAGGCAAGGTGCAACCGCCTCGTTCAACCTCACCTCATGTTGGCAACTGGGCGGCATCTATCGACATCCCTCAGAGACGCGGGACGCCAGCCTTGGAAGCTATGAACCCTTTACAGCGTTGGGAGCATTCACCTCCCGAGCACGAACCAGCGTCTGTGACCGCCATTGCAAGGGCTGTCACGGCTTCTTCGTCGTCGGCCTTGTCGTCGGGTCTTAACAGTCCCTATAGCTTCAATTATACCGATGACGGCTCAAGCAGGTCGCTTTGCAACCAGTCATCGACTAGCAGTTTGGGTACATCTCACTCCAGCAACGGATCTCGAGGATCTGCATACTCTCATGGATCACGCAACTCTTGGGGATCCTTTGGTTCGGCCCCATTTAGTACCCGTGGACGCCGGAGACGGCGTAGGCGTGCAGCCCCCAAGACCACCAATGACGGTACAAATGGCCTGGCAGCTCCCCTCAAGACTTTCCAGTGCACTTTCTGTACCGAAACGTTCAGAACAAAGCACGACTGGCAACGGCATGAGAAGTCTTTACACTTGTCGTTGGAGCGCTGGGTATGCGCCCCGGATGGCCCTCGTGCAGTCAATCCGGACTCTGGCATTCTTTCCTGCGTCTTTTGCGGGCTCGAAAATCCAGATGATGGCCACATCGAAGCTCACAACCACTCGGCATGCCAAGAGCGAACCCTTGAAGAA